GGGGGGGGCGGGCAGGGGGGTGGGGTGGGCAAGGGGGGGCAAGAGGGGAGAAAAGAGGGGGTGGGAGCCCCGAAAGTGAGTGCGAGGGGGGTCGGAAGGGGCGGAGTGAGTGGGAGGGGGTTGGGAGCCCCAAAGTGAGGTTGGGGGGGTCTGGGGATTGTGGGGCCGGTGGGAAAGGGGTGGGAGAGGGAGGAAAAGGGGGATGAGAGAGCAGGTAGAGGGGTGCTATGGGGGTCCCTGGGTGTCCCTTGAGCCCTGGAGCGGTTCCCTGGGGCTCTGGGGGTGTCGGATCCGCAGTGGGGGGGTCCCCAACCCCCCTGTCCATCCCCGGGGGGCTGATGGGGGGGTTCCCCCCCAGCCAAGAGCCGGTGCTGGGGCGTCCGTGGGGCAGAGGGGGTTGGAAAGGGGGGTCTGGGGTGACCCCTTGAGCTCCCACCCTGCTATGGGGGGAGAGGGGATGATGGGAGGTGGACGGGGCACCCCCTGACCCGTGTCCTGCACACACAGGGGTGTTCCAGCAGATGGTAAAATTCGAGTGTCACTTCATCAACGGTACGGAGCGGGTGAGATACGTGCAGAGGGTCATCTACAACCGGGAGCAGCTCCTGCACTTCGACAGCGATGTGGGGGTCTATGTGGGGGACACCCCGTATGGGGAGAAGGTTGCCCAGTGTTGGAACAACGACCCGGAAGAGCTAGAGCTACGACGGGCTCGGGTGGACACGTTCTGCAGGCAAAACTACGAGGGGTCCACCCCGTTCCTGGTGAACCGCAGAGGTGAACGTGGGGCAGAGCGGGAACCCTTGGCCCCCGCCCCAGGAATGACCCTGGAGCCCCTCAAACCCTCCCTGGGAATCACCCCAGACCCCTCAGACCTCCCTGTGCCAGTCCCTGTGGCCTTTTGCTCCTTCCCAGTTCCTCCCAGTCCATCCTATTCTCTCTCAGTGCCCCCCAATCCATCCCAGTCCATCCCAGTCTCTCCCAGTGTCCCCCCGCGTCTCCACGCGTCGATGCCACCGAGCTCCCGCCCCTCAGCCAATCCCAGCGCGTGTCTCTGATGACGCTCCAGTTGCCAGGCAGACCCAAAGCAAACACTTCCCTCACCACCACTCAGCCTCCCAGGCCCGAGCGCTTCCTTCCAAAGCCACACCAGTCATTCCCAGTCCAGCCCAGTCCATTCCCAGACCCTCTCAGTCCATTCCCAGTCGTTCTCACTTCACTCCCACATCTCC